ATGTGCCACATTCGAATATGAGGCTTCCCCAAGGCTAGAACATTACAACCACAAATTAGTATATTACACTAATTTAACTAACAATAAGTTGTACCTAGCATATTTACACAGAAAGCCTCAAATGTTAGTGCGAAACGTTGGTGTGGTTTTATAATTTAAATATTCTTTTTATTTTTTATACCTACTTACCTATATATAACGAATAAATAAATAAAATAAATGGGTGCTTACAATTATTTGTAAGCAGTTCTATTGTCAAATTGAAATTGGATTAAGATAGATAAATGATATACAATTTAATTGATTTTTAGAGGCTTGTCTAAAATTTAAGTTACAATTTCAGGGGGTCCAGGTATGCCATCTAGTGGTTATGGTAATTTTTTAGAAATAGGCCCATTGGACTTGAACCTTAAGATAAGAGAGCACACCTGGTTAAATAATTTTAATTTACTTTTTATTGATAATCCTGCAGATGTCGGATTTAGCTATTTTACATCACCGGAAAGTAATAAAAGGCTGGCTAAATCAGTTGATGACATCGGAAGAGATCTTGTTTCGTTTATAAGAAAATTTCTAAATTTATTTGAACAATTCAGAACGGTACCACTCTATATTTTTGGGGAGTCCTACGGTGGAAAAATGGCAGTGGAGTTTGCCTACCAGCTCTACAAGGTAATGACTCATTTTATTTTCTTAATTTGACAGTGTTTCTATTAAAAAGTTGATAATCATAAATTTAATTATCTTGACTTGTTTGTTTCGCGTCTTTTAATTTGATACATACCGGCACAATGTTAACTAATTTAAAAATAAGAGAAGATAAACTGGAAGACGTCCCTGATTTTAGATATTTAGGGAGTCAATAACTATGGTGGAAAAAACGCTAGGGTTAATAGAAATACAAAACAAAATAGCAAAAAAGACAGTTTTTCACAGTACTCAGCATAAAAATAAAGTATTTTATTTTTTGTTTTTAAAAACATATTTTTTGTTACACCTAGCAGCCAGTAACAAATTGCTGTCGTTCTTAAATATATTAATAGCCTCTAAACATGGAAAACAAAGATTTAAGTAAACTAAAAGTCCATTTTTAATTAGTATTAATGAAGCTTTATTCTTGTTGTACCGCCACTTTCTGTTCATAACAGAGAATACTCTCTAGGTCTCTCTCTACCAGGTATCTTCCGCTGCAAATTTAGAATCTGGTGTAGTAATTATTGTCCTATCAGTAAAATAGTACAGTCACATTCTTGTGTTCTATTTACAAACCACAAGAAACACAAAACCGTATTTTTGGATTGTGATTTTAATTTAGTTTAGTGCGTGACAAAATTTTGGTACATAAGCATAAAATGTAACGGCTTATATATATATTATCTTCATTCCTTGAAATTCTTCCATTCCCATATGAATAAATCTTCTGTGCGTGCGCTGACTGTGTTCTATATTCTGCAGTTTGTTCCATCTCGAGCCCATGCCCCATCTCTTGCTCTTGTTAGACCAGATTCCCCCGATAAGCAAACCTAAATTCGAAGAAATTCTCTCGCTAGGCCCACTGAATCTTCAGCGAAAGGATAATAATAGTGCATCATCCTAGATGGTTCGAAACCCGAAAGAAAATCTCATCTGGAAAAGCTAACGCTGGTAAATTTAAAAAGTTTTCAGCACACAGAATTTCGTTCGTTAGCAACAAAAATAAGGGAGACGATGATGTGGCTTATTTTGTAATCTAAATTATTTTTAGCTTATGATTAAATTATGTGCAGTTACTGATTTCGAAAAGATATGCGACTTTACGATGATGTACATTACCTACTTTGATAAAATCATTTCACGATATGATTCAAGTACTTTTTAAAACTGTATGTCCAATATAATGTTTCGCTTTTTTTAAACTACCAAGTTCACTTTTAAACTGACTTTTGAAGATTAATTATTTGCAGTGTTTTGTCGAAGCTGCGCTTTTTGTGGCCTAATTGCCATAAATAAGGCTTTTTATTTTTGGATTTTTTCGTACTTGTATGATACCTAGGCACGTAAGTTACAACTTAGTTAGAAGCTTTTTGAACACCCTGTATTTTTTAAATTGCAATTCAAATCTTATTATCCTTTAAATAGTTAATATTTTTGATTTGAACAAAAACGTCACATCAAAGAAATCTAAGAGCGATCGTTATTTTGTTTGTGCGTCTCTAGGGGTGGTTGTTATAAGTGGTCTCCCCTACTAGATCCAATTTAAAGTTAATTATATCTGACAAGACCACTTGATCGCTTATTTAACGTGAAGTCCCCCATGATATGGTGCCACCACCATGAGCGCGAAGAAGGGTGTCAGAATTGAACCGTTTTTCGGCTATTTACAATTAGTAAATCACATAAAAGCTGGACAAACAACCACCAGGATGATGTGCTACGTCTTTGAAAAGCTTTTCGCAAATTCGCTTTCCCATGTCATGACCTCCCACGCGAACAACGATGAATAACGCCCGCATAAAGTCAAAGATACCTCAGTTCCCTACATGGAATTATTTCATTACATTTCTTCATTGCAAGAATAAATAACAAGTCCTCCCCATATACACGACCCACACGTAAAGAGAGAAATCAAAAACAAATAAGTAAATCACAAACAGAGAGGGGTAGGTACAGTTTTCATGAAAGACGTTTCAATAAAAAATCCGGTGTATATATAAATATAAATAATATTTGTTTAGACAAAAAATGAAATAATTTGCCGAAATGACCGATTGCCTACGGCAGATATGAAATAACAATTATTGTCACGCGTAGACAACCAACTGCAGGCCTCTTGACGGTTCTTCTCGTATGGTCCCTAATCTCTGTCCAGTCTCTCATAGTTTTTAGCGTCTCTCATAGTCTCTCACAGTCTCTCAGTTATTACCTAGGTATTTTTATGGATCTCTCACAATCTCTGTATGAGAGACTCCAACGATAAAATTGTTAATTCAGAGATTCGAGTCTCTCACAGAAGACTGAATGAATAAAACTAAATGTCTGAGAGACTCGAGTCTCTCGTTCAGAGACTGGATACGAAATGAGGATCTCTCTATGAGCGTCTTGAGTCTCTCGTTCAGAGACGCTAAACAATTTTTTTGACAGTCTCTCTCAGCGACACCAGAGAGTCTCGATGAGAGACGGAGACTCGAGTCTCGCTTTCAGAGACTCTGAGAGACTAAACATTTTTATGTCGGGGTGGGCCTGTCTAGTACTAGGATGATTCCAGAATGTAAGATCTAGAGACTCTCGTCTTTTTGGTTATTAGTGCAATTTAGGTAACCCATTATAGGTCTCTTGGCGCTTCTCGTATAATGGGCAACTTACATGTGCTTATTTGGAAAATATTTTCGATCACAGTTGACGAACCATGGACATTTACTGATATGTAAGTAATTTTTACAAAAAGATTGTCTCTAATATCCATTTGTTTCTAGCACTACATGTAACAATTTAGTAATTTGGTTTCTCTAATATGTTTCTTGTTATTATAAACTTTTATTTTTATTGGCAACTTCGACCAGTTTTCTTTAGCAAGTGCGCCCCTTTCTGGCGACAACTTTTAAAATATTTGAATTGTAAATTGCTTTACTGCCTCTATTTGTTTGCATTTGGCCTCGCAGTCAGGTAACCTTATAAACTTCTATAATTTCGTAGAAGTTGTAAAATTCTTGGGCCAGATGTAGACCCAATTCTTTTACGTCAGAATAACATGCGACAGATTAGTCGTATCTTCTTTTTTTTTAATGAAATGAGAGAATGTGTGAGATGATAAAGTACACGGGTAATTTATACTATATCATATTAATCAAGATTCACTTTTTTTTTACATATTGTGAAGCGAGAGGGTTTCAACCCTCCTTGATAAATCTTAAACGAGCTTTTTCTACAACTTGATTTATGTTAACAGAAATAAATCTTGAAACTGAAACCATAAATGGAACCTACTTATATGAATGAATGTTTATATAATATGAGCGGTTATATTTATAAATTAGGGTATTTATTCTTAACTAAATTCGTTGCTGTGTATGTATGTATCCGATAAAATACATACAGAACATAAATATAATATAATAAAATGTATATTTCTAGCTTATCATGAAAAACTTTGAGGGCTCTTCAACAATTTTAGGTTTAATCGTATAATTTCTGATTGGCCTAGAGCTTGAGGCCACCGATATCGGATCAATTCCAAGCCTGTCTATCCTGGTCCAAGTTTTCGTGGATAATTTAGACAAATATTCGGACAGTCACCACCCTACATTCTCAAAAGGACTTCCCGACCTACCCTCCGGTTTTGCACTACATTATTTATGGGTTGGAATGACTAACCAGCATTAGCCAGTGAGAATAAATCAACCAAAAAAGTTTTTTGTCAAATGGGGGAGTGCAGTACCCATCAAAAGGAAAGAGGTGAGATATAAGCAACGTTTTAATAAAAATTCCGAGTGTTCACAAGAAGTGTGAAACAAATCCAAAACACGGGCAGAAAAGATATAACCAATTAAGGTTTACAATCGTCGTATAGTTTGGAAAGTAATGGACGCCAAGATTCCGAGAATGACTTGAATTTTACAAGGCGATTTTTTGGTTGAGAAGATAGTCTGATAGGTTCTGTGCACCTATACATACATACATACGTTGCACTGCGGCCATTCTCTACCACTTCTTGTCCGGTTGAGACCGCATTCCATCCTTTGAATTCTTCCCATGCTCCTTGCGTGTTGTAGAACCTTTATATTTATCAAAAATTTAAGAACATAATTTTACTTTCGCACATTGCAACGCATCGCGAGATCCATTACATTAGATGCGCACTTCTTTTATGCACACGTCTGTCCATACGTGTTTAAATTCTAATAATCATTAAAACAGCAAATCTTCAATACTCCAGAGGGTGAATAAATTACTTAGCTGAATGTATATACATTTACAAGTAATAAAAATTGTTAGAATATTCTACAGGAGGCGGCAGCACTAAAACTTAATATCCTTATCTTTTATACAGGATAATTCAAATTGAATATACGTATATGATAATTAAAATCAGAAACACTTTAATCTTATTTCTCCTACTTATTAATAAATAATCATCTAAAATATTTCGTTTGAATACAGCTACGTCTAAAAGTTCCGAAGTAATTGTGGGGCCTACCCCAAGTTTAAGCAATTAACTTGACATGGATCTAATCTCTTATAAGTAGTATTCCATATTTTTGCATTTTCTTCTGGTACGTGCTTACAAAAATAGAGTAATAATGATTATCGTGTACCAGAAGTCCGTTACTAATTATTTTAACTAAACACACTAATTGAAATATATAGCTCATTAACTGCGTGCAGTTTGAATGCTTTTAGTGCAGCGTTTTCTGTTGATCCATAAGTGACGGTTAATAAGTTAAAAACCGGTCTGCATCCGGACGGGACTGAATGTCTGCTTTCTCATGAACGTTTAATAAGTCTATTCGTAAGTCTAAAATAGCATCTCCGTAACCTCTAATTGCATAAAATGTCATTTTTAGTATTAAAACGGCAGCTGATCCCCCCCCCCCTTTCGACGTCTGTAAGTTCTTCAACTTGTTTGGAGATCAATTCGGAGTTGAAGAAGATTCTCAATTCTCATACGTTTTCCATTTCTACCTGGAAATGAGATTGGTAAGTCCTAAATGCTCTTAAATACAATCTTTATATGGAAAATCCCATCTGCAACACCTCATCATCATCATCATCATCATCATCATAGGGTCGTCAGTTCTAAGACTGGTTGAACACGCATCTCCATATTTTCCTATCCTGAGCTAATCTTTGTATTTCCCTAACATTAGAACGTTTCTCATTCTTAACAGTAATCTAATCTAGGTCATCTTCTATTCCTCTTAATCCCTACTTCTGCTTCCAATATATCTCTCACTAGCCCTTCATGTCTGAGAAGGTATCCTACCAACCTATTTCGCCTATTTCTTTGTAATATCCCCTCATTTTTAACCTTCCCTATCCACGATATCCTCCTCATCATTTGCCTGTAACATCTCATATTATTTTAACATTTTTTAAAGTTTTATTACAAGCATTTTTATGGAATTTGGGCAGGTACTCCGAATACTTGACCAGAATGACGTTGAAACCCATAACTGTAAATTTCACTGCACAATTTAATCGGAATCTGTTTATTGCTTTTGGTGTTAGACTATTTTGTTAGTATTTCTTTACATTTGACCATAAATAATCTTGTGTACTACTTCGCTCCCATGGTGGGACCAAAATGAAGTTGAAAATTTCACTAAATGTATACAAATCAGAAGAAGATGTAACTATCAACAAAACGTTGCTATGTGGTCAAATATATTACCTACTTTTAACTTTATCATTACATAATTATAGTTTTTGCATTGATTTATCGCTTTTGTGAGTATATCTCTTGTATTTTTATTTTATTTATTCCGTGTAAATAAGTGTTATGAGGGTTGTATCACAATGTACTTTGAACATTTCAAATGACCAGTGTTTGCAACGTATCAATTTTTCAATACGTCTTCCATATGGTCACTCACCACGGAGAAGAGATCCAATGGGCAGATAATGGTGACGTTAAGAAAAAGCGCAATTCACTTTTATTCTTTGCATGCCATAAAGATCTGTTAATAAGAAAGATAATTAATCGTCCGCAAAAGATTCTGAACAACTCTTTCTGTCAATTACGTTTCCAGTGACGGTAATTTATTTTTCGTGTCATTAATAAAGAGTTGTTAAATTTTCTCATTGGTCAATCAACCAGATGGCGCCGTTTACAAGTAATGGAATACATATTCGAAATAAAATTAGGAATTTTACTTTTTTTTCGTAAATAAGAATATTAAACACGGCGTGAACTCTCTGTAACGAAACTTAACTACATTGAGAAGTTTTTAAATGACGTTAAATTAATTAATTTATTTTAGGTGTCTAGGAAGTCAGATAAGTCAGGACGGAAGGAGTAGCAGGAATATAAAGCAGAGGATAGCGCAAGGTCGAGTCGCCTTTAATAAAAAGAAGTCACTTTTATGCTCGCGAATGGTTAATTTAGAAATTCGGAAAAGGTTGTTAACTGTGTATGTTTGAAGCACGGCGCTGTACGGGTGCGAAACATGGACAGTGGGCGCGGCGGAAAAGAAAAGGTTAGAAGCGTTCGAAATGTGGTGTTACAGGCGAATGATGAGGATGATAGAGAAGGTTAGAAATGAAGAGGTATTAGAAATAATAGGAGAACAGAGGATTCTATGGAAGTCAATAAGAGATAGGCGAGAAAGGTTGGTAGGACATCTTCTCAGGCATGAACGTCTAGTCAGAGACATATTAGAGGCAGAAAAGGAAGTTAGAGGTAGACCTAGATTAGATTACTGTTCGCAAATAGTTACGGATATGGGTTGTTCTGGTTTTAGGGAATTCCGAATATTAGCTCAGGATAGGAAAGTGTGGAGGTGTGTATCGAGATAGTCTTAGGACTGACGACCTTATGATGATGATGATGATATCAGGGTTGTATTTGCATATATCAGTTCCCTTTTTCTTTGAATTTCTCGATGGATTTTCATTCCGTATCCATTATACGAGAAAAGGATTCCAGTATTTAGAATATCTTTGTTAGATGTCGGGATACATTTTACTAATATAGTAGTATAAGAACCCTAACTGTGATGATAAATATGCATTTATTAATTGAGTGGTTTACCATGACCTTTCCGAGAAAATACGTTACCTTCTGTACTTACAGGTCATTTTAGTACCTACGTATGTATAAAATTTCATTGAAAGATGTAATTGCTAACCTGGGTATATGTAGTTTAAGTGATTAGAAAAAATAGACGCATTAACGTATGTACACTAATAGGTATTCAGAATATGTGCTTACATTGTGTCGTATTCAAATATCGTTCTGTCTTCAGACAGCTCATTTTACGACCTAGTAATCTGGTTTTCCATTTATTCCTGTGGGAACGTAAAAACTCATTGCTTTCGAAATTAAACACCGCTTACAGGTACGAAGACATGCAGAATGCTAGCTGTTGTTTTTTTTTTCTAATTTAATCCGCTGTTGATAAGAAAACATCAAAAGAATGACAATTTTTTATCACTAGGAATCAAATTAATTATCATGTAAGATCCTTGGATTTTCTTTTTGATTTCCCATACATTATTAACAAATGATGTGTCGATAATACTTTCAAAAATGCGATTTATTTACATAAAATCTGGTTCAACTTCATAGTGAACAATATTTATTAACAATCAGCAAGAAAATTAAAAGGGTGTTTTGTATATTTCGAAAGTAATATCAGAATAATTTTATATTTACGATTACATAGCAATGGAAATAGGGAGCTGTCCAAAATTTGAATCTTCCATTTCAAATATAGTGTAATATAAATTATTTTTCAAAAAAATCTCAACAGAATTTATGGTAGCGTTACCCTAAGGTGTCGTCGGTTGTTAAGTCAGCTTAATTACCTATTCTTACTTATATATTTCTTCTTGAATAAATATTTTTACCTGATTGTGAGTAGGAAGCAGGTCATTTGTACTTCTTAGAAAAAATGGTAGACGGTTACCCTTGTAAAGACTGCTAATAACATTCTTGTAAACATTATATATATAATTCTTGGAGTTTCACTTTTCATTTACCTGATAAAGCACACTTTCTGTATTGTTGTCCCCAACTGATTTAATTATACGAATCAGCAAGTGAAGTCAATCATGAGTTTAATTCTTGATACAAACAAGTACATACAAAAAAAAAGAACGCTTCATAATTTTTTGGTGTTACCTTATATTGGAAATGCACTGGATAGTGAATTTGCCGGGTACTAGACAACCGGGTAACTGATATTAATGGTACCGGGTGCTTCAGCTTTTTCGCTTTAAAAATGGCCTTGTATATGGTTCGTTTTATTTGATTTTCAGATAAAAAGAATAGGGGTTTTTGTTTAACTGTTTCGAGTTGAGTTCCACATGACCTCGCAGTCCAATGTGGAATTGCTGAATACGCTGAGGAAAATTTTTCAAAAAATTTGATCCTGTCAATGCCATTTAAGGTTTTTGTTACTTCTTCTATGCATAAAAATGTAGTTTGTAATGCTTATAAGGATATAGGGAAAAGACCATTGAAATTATTATAACAATTTAATTGATAATGTGCAGTCTTGAGTACGTTGGCAACACTTATGAATTGTAATTTAAATTTTTGTATTCTAAACGTATTAAAAGTAATAAACACCGGAAAGTGTGTAGGAATTGAAGAAATGCACCGGCAAAGGTGAAAGTACTGTAAAAGAAGAAAATAATCAATTATTATTAAGTACCAATAAAATCTTATTTTTAGTTACGTAGGTTTCTAATTGTGTATTATTTGTTTGAAGTAATTGGAGATAGATGTTTTAAAGTCTCAGACAACTGCATAGATTTGATCATTAAGTGCTTGAGATGTTTTTGGTTAAGTAATTTAAATTCTTCCTTCGATATTGCTTGTGTTAAGATTTTAATTAATTCAGTAATCGTTTCGTTCTTAAAGTAAACATTAAATTAATGAAGTCGAGTGAACATTATTAATTTGCAAGCGAAATTGTTAATTAACACAAGGAAAGCGGTAATTTTCTTTGTTATTAAGAAAAGTCGTGTATGCTCAGCTGACTCGACGAACATGCAACGAGGGATTTAAACTGCATAAATATATCGTGGTTGCAAAATTACTTTACTTTTATACTTACCTACGTTGCTTGTGCGTATAACCTTTCTTGACACATTTATCGCACACTCGCTTGAATATCTCCTACCCATGACCAGATGATAAGCAGTCTTTTCATTAAAACAGAATTACATTTTTACCACAACATCCTGCACAACGTTGATGAAATCTTTTCATAAATTATTATTGCATATTAAAGTTACCTTGGACATTTAAATGATTTTTAATTTCAAGTGACTTTTAAAAACTAGCAATTACATCCCATTCACATTCTAACATTATTTTATGACTTAATTTATGTAAAAGACTACACTAATAGTGTTAAAAAGGGTTATTTGTTTGTCATTATGGTAAGAACAATTCTAAATATACCTCAGATTCTAATGTTCTATACAAGTAGCAATAAGGATTTGTATTATGAATGATGAATAGAGTACTCGGTTTGGTTAGGTTTTTAGCAGTTTTTTCAGCATCCTTGGATACCCGATAATAACGTCGGGTACTCGGCAGTCACATCAGTATTATTTTGTCATCTTGCAGACTTTTAATGCTTATAAACATTATAGGTTCATGTAAGGTTCCAACTCAACCCTCTCAGTTTTAATCCACTAACCAAGAATTAAGGTTCCATTGGTATAGCTTTTAAACGACTTTTTGAACGGATCCTAATGTGGGTTTCGATATTGGTGAGGGTGATATTTAATGGAAGAACGAAGGCATGAACCATTAACCATGGGTTAAGGACGCCGGAAGGATAATATCAAGTCATAGATACCAATTTCTGGTATGTTTGAATTAGTTAATTTTAAAGGAATTTTAAACAATAATTAAGGATGATTTTAATTATTAAATTCTAAAGCTTTTAAAATGATTTGATTGAATCCTTACATATTCTAGTCGATACTTATTGCTTGTTAATTTGAATATTTCCTTGAATGATTGATTTATCTCTCATGTTATATTTTCTAGTGAAAGCATTTTTGTTAAAACAAAACTGAAATTTACTATAAAAGCACATATTTCCTTTACATTAAATATCTTACAAGGTAAACTCTTTTAGTTGATTTATTCCTTGAAGACAGTCTCCATTCTCTACTCTGAATCTGCATTATTTATGTATGTTTCTGTATGAACCATCACAAGTATTAATAACCTTGTTTATAAGCAATTTGCGATTACTCAACATCTAATGCATAACAAAAATTTTATGTTTTTCACTTAAAAGTTTGTTTAATAAGCCCATCCGGTCAATGTCCACTTGATTTTCTTTTTCGTTTGCATCAAAAGTATCGCAATTGCAAATTCCTTTTACTACTAATTTTCTGCGTAATAAGAGGTGAAATACGATTCCCCGACGTCTGTCGAATCATCAAGATATTTATTGAATGTGCCAACATTGATACTTGAACATATGATTGTCATATGATATTTACAGTTTGGATTGTTTAAGTAGACGGAAAACATAGTGAGGGACCTTTAAAGTTTAAATGTCCGCGAATCGAAAACAAACAGGTATCTATCTGAACAATGATTGATACAACAATAAATAATTGCAATAGATACAATGATATTATATAGCAGAAATTTAACAATTTGTGGAGATTAAATTGTCTATATTTATATACAGGGCGTCCCATCCGTCAAGGGTAAATGCCACGTTTTAACCTCACTCGTATTAAATTGCGCTGTCTCAACAAAAACAAAGAAACGGTAAAACTATACGCTGCTAACACATTTTGTTTATTTGGTTGCATAATTTCAATGAGATCAATCAGTGGCGTAGCAAGACTCTCATGAGCCCGAGTGTAAACCCTTTGAAGAAGTAAATTTTTTTAAATTTCAGTGAGATTGTTACTCCTTGAGGACCCATTTGGACCGTACGTCACTGATGGGAGCTTGTATCATCACAAAAATCTATAAACGTAGTTAATTAACCATTAATTATTTATTAGTAGCAGGTATCTTACTTACAAAAAAATTAAATTTTTGGCAAAATTACGTTGCTATTTCTGCATAGATTTGCTATGACATTAAGACTATTAATGTACATATGAGGTCAGTGTTTAATACCAAAGGTGAGTGAGTAATTATTTCGGAATGATATTCGGTTTTCACACTGTTTTGGCCACTGCGGTCCTACGCTTATTCCGACGAGTTTGTACGGGAAGTCATGTGACAGTATACACATACGTATACATAAATACATGCATACATTCATACGTACATATACAAATATAAATTCGTAAGTAACAAACCGATGCTAGAGGTTTAGATGGACGGCCCTTTAAATTTTAAATGTCTGCATACATAATGCACATGTACACATATGTGTCTGTCTCATACATATATGTATACGTGTAGACAACTACGGCGCATCAATTGCTTAAACTTTTAGCGGAATAGACTGACAATGAGTTGAATACGAGCTCAAGCACAAAAATTTTCCGGCCGGATCATGCGAATGATTATGAAGCGAAAAGGTTATAGCTTTGGACAATGTAGCTTTGGAGCAGAGCTAAAAACTTGTAACAGAAGAAGTCACTAAAAGAACTTACTTTAAAGCCCTGGCAAACCCACTTAAGATGCCGGATTATTGACAAAAAACTTTATTATTATTTGTCTACACATTTTGTAAATCAGTAAATATACTTAGTCATATTGATGTATCACGTAAATGTTATTACTTTTGGACCGTTCCTCGTATAAACTGGATTTAATCCAATGGTATATATCGCTGAAACCCTTGACCTAATATGAAGTCTTCTTCCTGTGCGACCGACCAGACTCTAGACGGTCTAGCCATGTATTCAATTAGACCGAAAATATTTTTTAACAACACATTAGGAGTAAATAATAAATTGGGTAGCGTGTGTATAGGAACATACAAACCAAAACGCGATTGCTGAGAACGAATTTATGACACTGCTTTCTTAGCGTATCTTTGACCAAACTTGTATAACTGACGAGATAATCAAATTGAGCTTTTTCGAGATTTTAGTTTTCTTTTTAATGGGATTTCTAGGTGGTTTCAAATTGAGCTTTTCTGAAACTTTAGTTTTCTTTTTAATGGGATTTCTAGGTGGTTTCAAATTGTGCTTTTCTGAAACTTTAGTTTTCTTTTTAATGGGATTTCTAGGTGGTTTCAAATTGTGCTTTTCTGAAGCTTTAGTTTTCTTTTTAATGAGACTTCTAGGTGGTTTCAAATTGAGCTTTTCTGAAACTTTAGTTTTATTTTTAATGGGACTTGTAGGTCGTTTCAAAATGAGCTTTTCTGAAACTTAAGTTTTCTTTTTAATATGACTTCTAGGTGGTTTCAAATTAACCTTTTTTGAAACTTTAGATTTCTTTTTAATGGGATTTCTAGGTGGTTTCAAAATGAGCTTTTCTGAAACTTAAGTTTTCTTTTTAATGTGACTTCTAGGTGGTTTCAAATTGAGCTTTTCTGAAACTTTAGTTTTCTTTGTAGTGTGACTTCTAGGTGGTTTCAAACTGAGCTTTTCTGAAACTTAAGTTTTATTTTTAATGTGACTTCTAGGTGGTTTCAAATTGAGCTTTTTTGAAATTTTAGATTTCTTTTTAATGGGATTTCTAGGTGGTTTCAAACTGAGCATTTCTGAAACTTTCGGCTATTTGACTTTCATGGTAATTACTTCGTTTGTACAATTTCCTCTATTTGAAATTTTAAATGTGAAGATGAAGGAAATTTCTGTCAGCATATTTTGAGAACTAATGTCTGATATAGTTTCATAAAAAAATTGTTAAATAATTTTCTACATGCGGTGTGTTTGCCTGTGCAATAGAACGTGTTGATTATTCCGACTATCCACAAGGTTGTTAATCATGATCCTTGCGTTTAATTAAAGTTATAGGATGTTAGAAAGCATATGTTTATGTATCTGGCCCGTTTAAAAATATTAACACTGAACCTGTAGCTGATTAACAACTCGAAGACAGCATATTTCTCAATGTTTAAAGTTTACACACTTACAAGTGTCCGTCTCTTCTCTCTATTGAACCACGTGTATTTTCTGTTGTGCAATCGTCGACAGTTAAAGTTAATATGTACACATATTATTGTAGAGATATTTTTGACTAGTCCTTAATGATTTCTATCATGCAGTTGTGTTGTAAATGTTCTTGATCGAAAGTCAAATTAAATTGAGTTCGATAAATTGCATTTAATTTTAATTAGAACCTGCATATGTATGTACCTATTCTGATTATGAAAACGTAGCTCAAAATCACAATGTGTAAAAGCCAAAATAGTGTTGGAAATCAATCCGCTTCTAGTTAAGAGGCTTCTTCAAGGTAGGTTTTTGCGATCTAATTGTGATAATTTTAACTATTAGATCTATCTACATACCGACATTATAGATACTGCATTAGAATAAATGTGGGTGAATATTTGAAACATTTTTAACTAATAGTTATAGGCGAACAAATGAAGCAACGTTTAGGGTGTTTAATCTAATAATGTACCAAAAATACTCAATTTTATTCAACTAAATAGAACAAACAAAATAGCTCAAAACCCCAACGCCAAAACACGACACTGTAGTTGTCCGAAGCACTTTTCGGTAACAAGGTAACAAGGAACAGTTCATTTCAGTCCCTGAAGAAGGTAACCTTGGTACCGAAAAGTGCTTCGAACAACTACAATGTCGTGTTTTGGCGTTGGGGTTTTGAGCTATTTTGTTTGTTCTACAACAACCGCCAAAGTTTTTCCAATCTTCATATTTTATTTAACCAAAGTTATTTTTTACATACATCTCTTACATTCTGTTATATCCTAAGCGCCAATCCTAATTCACTTTTAATGTACGCACCCTTAAATTATATCCATTATTCACAGCTTGTTATCCCTATTCCTACTGTAGTCTTTTTTTGATTGTCGACTACTTTGAAATAATTAAGTACAAATAAAAAAATCATTGCAGCTCGTAGTGAAACAAAAGAAAAACACTTCTTCCTATTTGTCTCGACTTGCACATCGTCATTTTTCTTCTTATTTTCAATATCTACATCCTCTACACTCATTCCCTATCCTAAATCTTGCCATTAATTAAAAGCTCCTGAAGAAGGCGAAATACGTATAGAATGATTAGTGAAGATACTGATAAACCAACTGAAACAGTTTTCCAAGTCGTGTTTAATATTTATTGTACGGTTTTATTACGTTGTTAAAGATTGTAATGGTGTTAAATGAAGTTTACAATAAATTTAAACAAATTCGTTATTTTATCTGGAAGCAGTTTTTTTTTAACGCGATACGTCGTCGTGGCAAGTGGCAATTTGTTAATTTCAGTCGGTATGGAATTCTTTATGAATGGCGGTAAAACATCTTGCTGGTTGGGCTTGAAATCAGCGGCAAAGGATTAAAAGCACCACAATGGGCGATATGGCATAATACGTAGAGAGCCCAAGGCTCGAAGGAGCGGGAATCCTGGCTGCTAGTGTCGTAGTGGGGGTACAAGTGGCAGAGATACCGGCTCAGCTTATCGTGGAAAAGCCGGCAATCATCATTTGCTTCCGACCACTGAGTGTCGCTGCAGCAAAGCTATCCAATTCTTGACTGAGATCAGCTGTGCGCTCTGGTTTTCAAACCACAGTCATTTCCACAACTCGAAAAGCATTTTAATTCTTTTTTTACTGTTACCGTGTAGTTATTATAATAAACAAACTGTAGTGTACTTGTCTGTGATTCAAATATACGTGCGGTATTGGAACTTGAAAGATACAACAGTAAAAAAAAACAAAAAGAAACAATAAAATTAATCTTTGGACTGCAAATATGATGGACTTGTTCTGTTGCGAAACGCCAGAAAACAGGGCCTATCCGGACAAAGTTTTGCTCACCAAGCGCGTGCTAGTTAATATTTTGAAGATCGAAGAGCGATATGCCCTTCTTTCCAATTGTTTTCCTACTGTGCAGACCGAGGTGACCGTTCAAATGAGAAAAATCGTTGCCGATTGGATGATGGAGGTAAGAGCATGTATCTCCACTAGTCGGCCTAGGATTTTACCCTTGTTTTTATTCGCGTAAGTTTAAAGCAATTTTTCAGAAACAATTTAATCACATGAAATTCTACTTGATAATAAACATTTACACATAAGCCTACTAGAAAATACAAAGTTCGTTCACGCAGCCATTACTTTACATGCACAATTCGCGCTAAATCCAGTAATGATAATGAATTTTCTTGTCACTATTGATAAGAAACGTACTTCTTTACGTAATATGTTAATTTAAGATTTTTTTGCATTGACAAAATGAAAAAAATATTTCTGTAACTCATCTGTTTTTAAATAAGTTAACTATCAAGGATTCAATTTTCATTTCGAGAAACATTATCAATAAAATCATCGCTCTTGTCATTATTAAAGCGAAAAGTTTGAATGTAGTTTTAAATTGAAATATTTGGTCATGTCCAGCTTGCTGAGCGTAAAAAAACGAATCCAAATAGGTGTATGATAGTTAATGTATATTCCCTTGTGGAGCCCCTGTCAACTGGGCCATTGTCCTGCTTGGCCTTGAGCGCGGACCCGCAGTTAGCAAAAATTGACTAGAAAATCTGCCATGGTCTCAACTCACGATTACGTGAACCTTCAGTCCAATTTGGAAGATCAATTTTCTCTCATTGTTATTGTTGTTATTAGACGAGATAGAGCGAGTGAGAGAATGCATCGGTGATTTTTGGAGGCATTTAAATTTTTAAAACACTCTTAATTCACTCGTTGTTGTTGTGACACTCACCTGCTCGGTTTAGCGCATCGCTTAAATCTCAACTGTGTCTTCTAATTTGATTTGATACGTAGGACTTGGCCTACGGTCGACAAAGAGTTTAAAACACCGTGACCGCTTTTACGTAATGTGTTTTTTGCTCCGTGATTTGTACCAGTAACGAGCGTAACATTTTAATAATTATTAGACCACCATAAAGATTATTACACTTTGAAAATTCCTCTATCGGTTAATTAAATTCTCAGAAGTGGTGGGAACTTCTTTGCTAATTTGCCGTGTAAATTTTTTGACCAATTGCTAAATTAATTAACCTGGCGGTCAATGCATGGTATATCTGTAATATTGATCCACTTCGATACTAGCTTTACATCAATTTGAAATGAAAAATTCTATAAAACTTCCTTTAACTTATGACATTGACCATTGACTACAATCTACATAACTTAAAATCAATCAATAATACGAGTTAAATGATTATTTTTCAATCTTTTAATTGATATTGTTTGAGATATAAAAGAATTAACGACGTGAGGCCTGAGTTTGACCAGCACAGGTTTTTATTTACGAAGAAGGTCAATTTAAACATTCCTGTAAACAACATCATTAGTAAATGTCCTAGCTCTCTTAGGATGATTACAAAATATTCATTTTGTTCATTAATTACTTGGGATGACTTCTATTTATGTAGGAAAGGTATTTACTAGAAATGGATGCAATGTTTTTTAATTTCCGAATCGTTTTAATTGAATTGCGAATTGTTGGTTTTGCACTGTTGTGAATTGATGAATCGTCTAAGTATGTACATAACAACAGAGTTGAATGTTTAAAAAAAAATAACTCGTTTTCAAGTATAAAAGTGTTTCTCAGATAATGATAACACGTTTAAAAGGAATTATCTTTAAAGGGACTACTTATCTATTGACTTAATAAAATTATAACGAAAATGAATTCCTGATGTGACCTTATCTAAATGGAGGTTGCAACAATTTGGGTTAATTACTTAATTTCTCTGATTAAATTATATGTATAAATATACATAAATAAGGAAACAAAAACCCTCAAATTGTATCAAGAGTTGACACATTTTTAGATATCGGCCGTAACAGTATTAATTGCTGTTGGTTCTTTTTGTTATCACGTGAAAATTTTTCTCCGTTACCTTTATATGTAAGCGCTTTGGACTAATGTCCTGTTAACACCAAGAATGAACTCATCACTTTAAAATTTTTAGTCGTGTTTGAGAACTTTAAATGGCCATTAAGATAAATTGTTCTTTCCTTATTTTCATGCGCTTCCAGGGATCACAGGATGTGTGCTACAGGAAAAGGGGGCAACTGTTGTAACTTTAAAGTCGCTAAATTGAATTTATTTAAAAAAGAAACTAATGAAAATAAGTATTTTTTTGACGACTAAACCCTTACATTAAAGTTACTGATAGAAAGCTCTATAGAATATCGATTAGTATTGATAACAAAAAAAATATCGATAAATCGGTAGTTATCGATGAATCTCTATAATTATCGACAACTATTGATATATCGATATTTAAAGAGAACAACTACGATAGTTATCAATATATCGATAGTTATCGACATATCGATATATTCGATAATTGTCGGTAGTTATCGATACATTGATAGCAATAAGCAACTATGTACGTAAACTTGAAAAATCGATAGACTATCCCTAGATGTTGTGTTGCGTTTTGTAATTTTCTATTTCCCATTTAAATAACGCAGTAGTAATGTTTCTTTTTTAATGTTGAAATTGGAAAGTAATAAGTGTACAAGATTTGGCAAAGTATTATTTGTAGGAAATTAACGTTCTGTAAACAACGTCTCATACGTAGTCTAGCCGTCATATATCGATAGTTATCAAAATATATCGATATTCATCGATAACTATCGATATTTTCTCCCAGCACTAATACTGACTGTATGAGCACATAGTTTAGTTATGCTGTAAAGTTGAAAAGTGAATTTTGATAATTATTTATAAATAGTCTGGTTCAAGATAACCCTTTGCGAAATGGTTTTCGCTGTATTGTATTACGAATTAATTATTAAATGTTTTTGAGTCTCAACTAAAGTAAAAAAAGGAGTGTTTTCCCTGTTATCAGCTGTTTTTTTCTAATCAAACCTTATTGTTATACTTTAGCTAGGTAACTGACGGCGCCTTCTCTTATCATTTGTATTATCTAAAAATGATAAATTAAAAAAGACATACATTGCAAAAGCTTGAACAAATTAGGTAAAGCCAAACAGCTGATGGATGTTAGGTACGTTTGTGTATCGCCATTACAAGATTGTGAATGACGTGGTTTTCTTATACATAGATACATATTATCGTTTAGAAATACACCACCCTTCAAGTATATTTGCTTCATCCCCATGAAAGATACAGGGTGTTGACTGTCCAATAATCAATAAGTAATCTTTTCAAAAATTATCATGAATTTTACATTCGATGTTTGCAGACGTATCCAAAATCCTGCTTGTAGAACTGATTCTTTTAGCATTCATTAAACTTTTTACGTCGATGGTATGCTTTACAAGTTACATATTCTCCATTAACTTTTCTGTATTTCAATATTATTGTAAATATGAATTACAAAACATCACCGTTTTCTTTGCAAAATTTTATTTTTGGTTGGCGGATTTTTAACTAGAGGGTTGAGTTGAGTCCTTTGAAACTAGTGTATAGTGTTTATAAACACTAAAATCTGCAGGGTGACAAAATATTACTAGTGTGATCGTTTATCAAAACCTGATATATTAACCAGCGACAGAAATTGTAACAGTTGCGTCATAGATAAAGTGAATATAAAACTATATCGAAATAAAAAATAATTAAGTATAGTAATCAATAAATAATACAAATCAGGACAAACGACCGATCATAATACAATCTTAATTACCAATTTTTATTAATTAAGGTTTTTGTTATACTTATTATAATTATTGTTGCTGGTGTTGCTCGGTACCTTACGTCATTATCCTATCCCGATCGGAACCTAAAAAAAGTGCCGGATTCACCGAGTACCATATCCAAATTTGGTACCGGCATATCTCTAATTTAAACTTAACGAGATACTGCTAAGTTATACTCCATAATAAGTCAGAATACTTCAAAATACTCTACTAATTTAATGTCAGGATGCATAATATCCTGTTCATATACGTAGATATCCGTTTATACGCGTGAGCTTGTTCAAGAATAACACATAATCCTGAAGGATGGATTGTACTGAAAATTGCCTTTAGAATTTCCGATTTCGAATTACTCCCATCGTTTCCACATGAAATATATTTCAACTACCAAGGTTAGTGTGTGTAGATAACTGCCGTTTAGCATGTGGTTTCCTGTCACTTGATAAACTTTCAAAATTATTAATGTACATACGTACTTGATATGTATTCAAGACGTGAATAAAATAACGAACACATCATGTAATGGCTGATGAAAAAAGAAAAGAAAACGGTTACTCAATAACTTTGTCATTTATAAATGGAATTATCGCTTGCTTACTGAAGATATTCTTCATTCTTTCCATGTTTTAAATGCTTGTGCCAAAAAGTGTGCGGTTTATGCCACTGCCTAAGTGGGTTCTTGAAGAGTTATGATTTTCTGCGTTTCAAGGCTAGAATTTTGAGGGGATGCAGGCAAGGTCCCTAAGTGGGTAGCCACACTAGCTCTTGTGGGCCCCATGAGGTTGCCTCCTAGGACAAGNACTAATAGTTATAGGCGAACAAATGAAGCAACGTTTAGGGTGTTTAATCTAATAATGTACCAAAAATACTCAATTTTATTCAACTAAATAGAACAATCTACATACCGACATTATAGATACTGCATTTGAACAAATGTGGGTGAATATTTGAAACATTTTTAACTAATAGTTATAGACGAACAAATGAAGCAACGTTTAGGGTGTTTAATCTAATAATGTACCAAAAATACTCAATTTTATTCAACCAAATAGAACAAACAAAATAGCTCAAAACCCCAACGCTAAAACACGACACTGTAGTTGTCCGAAGCACTTTTCAGTAACAAGGTAACAAGGAACAATTCACTTCAGTCCCTGAAGAAGGTAACCTTGGTACCGAAAAGTGCTTCGAACAACTACAATGTCGTGTTTTGGCGTTGGGGTTTTGAGCTATTCTGTTTGTTCTACAACAACCGCCAAAGTTTTTCCAATCTTCATATTTTATTTAACCAAAGTTATTTTTTACATACATCTCTTACATTCTGTTATATCCTAAGCGCCAATCCTAATTCACTTTTAATGTACGCACCCTTAAATTATATCCATTATTCACAGCTTGTTATCCCTATTCCTACTGTAGTCTTTTTTTGATTGTCGACTACTTTGAAATAATTAAGTACAAATAAAAAAATCATTGCAGCTCGTAGTGAAACAAAAGAAAAACACTTCTTCCTATTTGTCTCGACTTGCACATCGTCATTTTTCTTCTTATTTTCAATATCTACATCCTCTACACTCATTCCCTATCCTAAATCTTGCCATTAATTAAAAGCTCCTGAAGAAGGCGAAATACGTATAGAATGATTAGTGAAGATACTGATAAACCAACTGAAACAGTTTTCCAAGTCGTGTTTAATATTTATTGTACGGTTTTATTACGTTGTTAAAGATTGTAATGGTGTTAAATGAAGTTTACAATAAATTTAAACAAATTCGTTATTTTATCTGGAAGCAGTTTTTTTTTAACGCGATACGTCGTCGTGGCAAGTGGCAATTTGTTAATTTCAGTCGGTATGGAATTCTTTATGAATGGCGGTAAAACATCTTGCTGGTTGGGCTTGAAATCAGCGGCAAAGGATTAAAAGCACCACAATGGGCGATATGGCATAATACGTAGAGAGCCCAAGGCTCGAAGGAGCGGGAATCCTGGCTGCTAGTGTCGTAGTGGGGGTACAAGTGGCAGAGATACCGGCTCAGCTTATCGTGGAAAAGCCGGCAATCATCATTTGCTTCCGACCACTGAGTGTCGCTGCAGCAAAGCTATCCAATTCTTGACTGAGATCAGCTGTGCGCTCTGGTTTTCAAACCACAGTCATTTCCACAACTCGAAAAGCATTTTAATTCTTTTTTTACTGTTACCGTGTAGTTATTATAATAAACAAACTGTAGTGTACTTGTCTGTGATTCAAATATACGTGCGGTATTGGAACTTGAAAGATACAACAGTAAAAAAAAACAAAAAGAAACAATAAAATTAATCTTTGGACTGCAAATATGATGGACTTGTTCTGTTGCGAAACGCCAGAAAACAGGGCCTATCCGGACAAAGTTTTGCTCACCAAGCGCGTGCTAGTTAATATTTTGAAGATCGAAGAGCGATATGCCCTTCTTTCCAATTGTTTTCCTACTGTGCAGACCGAGGTGACCGTTCAAATGAGAAAAATCGTTGCCGATTGGATGATGGAGGTAAGAGCATGTATCTCCACTAGTCGGCCTAGGATTTTACCCTTGTTTTTATTCGCGTAAGTTTAAAGCAATTTTTCAGAAACAATTTAATCACATGAAATTCTACTTGATAATAAACATTTACACATAAGCCTACTAGAAAATACAAAGTTCGTTCACGCAGCCATTACTTTACATGCACAATTCGCGCTAAATCCAGTAATGATAATGAATTTTCTTGTCACTATTGATAAGAAACGTACTTCTTTACGTAATATGTTAATTCAAGATTTTTTTGCATTGGCAAAATGAAAAAAATATTTCTGTAACTCATCTGTTTTTAAATAAGTTAACTATCAAGGATTCAATTTTCATTTCGAGAAACATTATCAATAAAATCATCGCTCTTGTCATTATTAAAGCGAAAAGTTTGAATGTAGTTTTAAATTGAAATATTTGGTCATGTCCAGCTTGCTGAGCGTAAAAAAACGAATCCAAATAGGTGTATGATAGTTAATGTATATTCCCTTGTGGAGCCCCTGTCAACTGGGCCATTGTCCTGCTTGGCCTTGAGCGCGGACCCGCAGTTAGCAAAAATTGACTAGAAAATCTGCCATGGTCTCAACTCACGATTACGTGAACCTTCAGTCCAATTTGGAAGATCAATTTTCTCTCATTGTTATTGTTGTTATTAGACGAGATAGAGCGAGTGAGAGAATGCATCGGTGATTTTTGGAGGCATTTAAATTTTTAAAACACTCTTAATTCACTCGTTGTTGTTGTGACACTCACCTGCTCGGTTTAGCGCATCGCTTAAATCTCAACTGTGTCTTCTAATTTGATTTGATACGTAGGACTTGGCCTACGGTCGACAAAGAGTTTAAATCACCGTGACCGCTTTTACGTAATGTGTTTTTTGCTCCGTGATTTGTACCAGTAACGAGCGTAACATTTTAATAATTATTAGACCACCATAAAGATTATTACACTTTGAAAATTCCTCTATCGGTTAATTAAATTCTCAGAAGTGGTGGGAACTTCTTTGCTAATTTGCCGTGTAAATTTTTTGACCAATTGCTAAATTAATTAACCTGGCGGTCAATGCATGGTATATCTGTAATATTGATCCACTTCGATACTAGCTTTACATCAATTTGAAATGAAAAATTCTATAAAACTTCCTTTAACTTATGACATTGACCATTGACTACAATCTACATAACTTAAAATCAATCAATAATACGAGTTAAATGATTATTTTTCAATCTTTTAATTGATATTGTTTGAGATATAAAAGAATTAACGACGTGAGGCCTGAGTTTGACCAGCACAGGTTTTTATTTACGAAGAAGGTCAATTTAAACATTCCTGTAAACAACATCATTAGTAAATGTCCTAGCTCTCTTAGGATGATTACAAAATATTCATTTTGTTCATTAATTACTTGGGATGACTTCTATTTATGTAGGAAAGGTATTTACTAGAAATGGATGCAATGTTTTTTAATTTCCGAATCGTTTTAATTGAATTGCGAATTGTTGGTTTTGCACTGTTGTGAATTGATGAATCGTCTAAGTATGTACATAACAACAGAGTTGAATGTTTAAAAAAAAATAACTCGTTTTCAAGTATAAAAGTGTTTCTCAGATAATGATAACACGTTTAAAAGGAATTATCTTTAAAGGGACTACTTATCTATTGACTTAATAAAATTATAACGAAAATGAATTCCTGATGTGACCTTATCTAAATGGAGGTTGCAACAATTTGGGTTAATTACTTAATTTCTCTGATTAAATTATATGTATAAATATACATAAATAAGGAAACAAAAACCCTCAAATTGTATCAAGAGTTGACACATTTTTAGATATCGGCCGTAACAGTATTAATTGCTGTTGGTTCTTTTTGTTATCACGTGAAAATTTTTCTCCGTTACCTTTATATGTAAGCGCTTTGGACTAATGTCCTGTTAACACCAAGAATGAACTCATCACTTTAAAATTTTTAGTCGTGTTTGAGAACTTTAAATGGCCATAAAGATAAATTGTTCTTTCCTTATTTTCATGCGCTTCCAGGGATCACAGGATGTGTGCTACAGGAAAAGGGGGCAACTGTTGTAACTTTAAAGTCGCTAAATTGAATTTATTTAAAAAAGAAACTAATGAAAATAAGTATTTTTTTGACGACTAAACCCTTACATTAAAGTTACTGATAGAAAGCTCTATAGAATATCGATTAGTATTGATAACAAAAAAAATATCGATAAATCGGTAGTTATCGATGAATCTCTATAATTATCGACAACTATTGATATATCGATATTTAAAGAGAACTACTACGATAGTTATTAATATATCGATAGTTATCGACATATCGATATATTCGATAATTGTCGGTAGTTATCGATACATTGATAGCAATAAGCAACTATGTACGTAAACTTGAAAAATCGATAGACTATCCCTAGATGTTGTGTTGCGTTTTGTAATTTTCTATTTCCCATTTAAATAACGCAGTAGTAATGTTTCTTTTTTAATGTTGAAATTGGAAAGTAATAAGTGTACAAGATTTGGCAAAGTATTATTTGTAGGAAATTAACGTTCTGTAAACAACGTCTCATACGTAGTCTAGCCGTCATATATCGATAGTTATCAAAATATATCGATATTCATCGATAACTATCGATATTTTCTCCCAGCACTAATACTGACTGTATGAGCACATAGTTTAGTTATGCTGTAAAGTTGAAAAGTGAATTTTGATAATTATTTATAAATAGTCT